TAATGTAGAATATCCTTTTGGAGGCTTACTCGTCCAAGTGATGGAAGGTTCAATTTAGTTGCTGATCCCTAGACAATAATATTCTCCATCTCGACACTATGTGAGTTCATGCTTGCAGGAAGTATTTCTCCTATGCAATTCGCTAAAATTGCTAGGCGACAAACAAGATTACTGAGCAGGAAGTACTGTGTTATAGGGCTCATTAATCGTAAACATTAGAAGGACGAGGGCCGTCGTGGTGCCTTACCAATGCTGTCGACAGACAAGGTTTCTGGAGACAATAAAGTAGTTTCTCCTCAAATGCGTAATGGTGGTTGAGGATCGCACTGGCGGCTCATTATTCCGGAAAGACTTTGGTTCTCGAAACAGCATTCCCCTCAACGCCCTTGTATAACTTTATGTATGCGCTCATCTGGCTGACGGATGTGGAGAGCTGTTTATCGACGGGGGGGGGCATTTTGTATTATAATTGCTTCCCTGGTTCCGGTTTACAAATCTCACTCTGGTAAACTTGTGAACGCTTGTGAAGCTGGAGCAAGATCGTCTAGCCACCATCCTAAAACGTGTCAACTCGAAAAAAGGGTACCTAGATGGGTTGGCAAATCTATGAAGAGCAGAGTGCCCCCCCCCTTTGTCGATAAACAGCGCCGAATGTCGATCTGGCAAAGCGCATCCTTATCTCCACACATCCACTCACCCTATTACAGTCTATGATTTCTTTGAGGGGATGGAATGGTCCTAAATCGTCCAGATGAATTGCTCTAGTGATCTTGTAGACTACTGTAAGTAAGCATACAAGTCTTGTAAGCATGCATATCCCTTGACTACTGCGAATGTATATGAAATGCGTGGCGTAACCCGAAGGCACTAATGAGTACTGGCCGATTTGTTTTCGTCGTTGTATGATCGAAGTCTTTACCTTATTACTTTTCACCACATCGCTTGGCACGACGAATTGGTAGTCGAGCGTTGAGCCCTTCTTGGCAGGCAGATTACCGGATTCCAGGACGGCGTTATGAAGCGATTTTACCTGTAAATACTGTGTCAGCTGAGGTCTATACTGTAGTTGCGCAAGCTCTGAGTTCTGAGTTGTTTTAGTTGCCCTTTATGTCTCTGTGGGTGCAGGAGATCCAAGTTGGCTCGCTGTAATACATTTGCCCCTGATGCGAATGTCTCACGCGACTTTTGTCCTAATCCGCGTCCAACTAGTCCAGATGATACTCATCCTTTCCCTTTTTTAGCTTCCATTTGCTTATCTTCGAGTGAGTGACAGAGCCTACTTGGGATGAGATGTCAGCGTAACTCCCTACGCCGTAAGGCTGCGTTCATACTTTGCAGCTGCGTCCACCAGTGACCAATAGCGTCCACCAGCGTTCCGAGCGTCCGGCAGCGTATGCGACCAGGAGAGCGTAGACATCGATCTGTCTGCTGCCCTCCTATCGCGCCATGCTCTCTACCCGTACCCTCCTAACACTACCAGCTGCCTGCTACTTCCCTAGCCCTCGAGAGCTGCTGCTCGCTGGCAGACGATGGCAGACGCTAGATCGATATCTACACTTTCCTAGGCGCTGAGGCTGCCGGACACTCGCGCTGCTGGGCGAGTGGAACGCCGAAAAGTATTTAAGATTTTCAACCAAGTCGTACCTCATCCTCTTTCTCCTCCTGACTACTGTTGTCGACAGTCTTTCTCAAGTTCACTTCAAGCGTTTCGTAAGACGACGTGCTGCCATGAAGTGAATCTCGCACGAATAACGTAATGAAGTAGCGCTTTCCTGACCTGAAACTGACTGCTTAGTGTCACTGACTTCCGCTTAGTCACACCGTAACCACCTACCGTAATTTCTGTATAATCATAGAATTGTTCGTTTGTGGTACGCAGTGAATGGACTCAAGGCCCTCATTCAGTTCACCACACACTGCCCAGTCCGGTACACGTCGAGAAACTATCGCACAGTAGCGATAGCGATTTGCTTCGGCTGACCTGAACTCCATGGACACATATGCTTTGAAAGAGTAGAACAGTTATTGATCAAGTAATTTGCTAAAAATGGTTCCATTCCGGTTGATTGTGCTAGGCGAAACAAGCAATTAATTCCACTTTCTCTTCGTAACATAGTGATTTTGGATAGCTAGGTTGGCCTGGTATTCTCCTTCCTACCACCCCTGCCTCAGCATTTAAAGCGGATTCCGCTTATCAAGAAAAAAGATCGCATGGTCCTGTACTATCCACCTAACTTGATAGTCCCCGATTGATCTCATACCCAAGAACTGGCGCTATTTCGCAAGCTCTTTACGAGGATTTCACCCCTCTGACTTGACAAGGACGTCGTAGCTGCCATTATAAATCATCATTAGCAGCTCATTCAATTAGGAAATATTTGGAAGAATTCCTGACTGCTACTTTCTTCAACCAGCTTTTAACCTCGACAGTGAAGTTTTATGTCAAAAGTTGATTGGAAAAGTCGTTTAATAGTTCATTCAGGGGCACTACTTGATTATCCAACAATATTTAAGCCCTTCCCGAGCACCAAAGAAACGGTCGCGCTCCTTGAACGAACCTGACACGATCAGCGGCTTTCCAAGTGATGAGAACCTGATTGGTCTCTGAACTGTCGCCTTTCGATACAGCATAAGCCAAACGAGTGTCATGTGGTAGCGGTGGATAGAAAGCATCCATCTCGTCTTGAGAATGCGAAAGGAATAGGCGAGCAGAAGATGGTTTGGATGACGTCAGCGCCAACATAAGTGGACCTGAAATTGAAAAATCATACTTTAAGTTCAAGGTCCTCCAAGAAAGACTGCTTCAGTACTTCACCACGTTCAGATGTGTCTCATAAATATACCCTGTTCCTTGCCCCCACGCGGCTATTTCCACTTTCGTTCTGCGGAACTTCTGCAGAGCTTTATGGGTTAGGAAGTAGGATAAGACAGTTCGCACAACCATATGCTCCCCCTGGGTTTTCTTCCTTCTTCATGGCTGCGCTGCACTCAGTAAAACTGCAGTAACAAAAGGCAAGAAAGGCCCTCCGCTTGTGGGCGTAGCGGGATTACGAGAAGTCGTTTAGGTTGCACAGGATGCCAAGTTAAGTACACGAAAGATACGTCGTACTGGCGGCAAGATGTTCCACTGTGAGCAGGCTACCCAAGACTGCCTTCAGCGTCACTAAAAGGTGAAGCCGCCACCAAAGCCGTCGAATTTAAAAGGTTTGTGTAGGACGCATATTGAAGAAGGAGACAGTGCGTGCGTAAGCCTGAAGCAGCTGCGCAACCCCGGGCAAAGTATGTCATACTAACCGTCCCCATCCCCATTGACACGACCCCCTTCCTCATCTCCATCCTACCTCCATCTTCATGAATTCTCCCAGCTTCCTATCACTTGATAGAAATCCTGCGGTTCATTCTAAAAGAATACCGTCGAGCGAGTTAGGGGGGGAAGGGGTAAACAGCGCAGGAGCACTTGAAATGGCGAATTCAAGAAAAATCAACAAAACAAAACATTTTCTCAGGGGAAACGTACAATCCTCCCCCCCCCCCTCCTCCAGCAACCGAATGCGACCCCCCTCCTCTCACGCTGAGCTGCCCAACGTAAGACGTGCATTGTCTCCGGGTGTCAAGTCTTAGGGCTTGAGTGCTGAGCTTTGACGACAATGGAAAACACAAGACCGTGAGCAGGTTTCTGGAAACAGATGAACAGTTCTCGTGACTAGTGACACGAAATGTTCAGCTGTTCGGCCGGCTTCGTTGTGGCAAGCGATTTTTTTTCCGTCGCTCTACTGTTTATGTGAAGCTGGTAGACAGGACCGAGGAAATCCAGAAACTCTCCGACGGATCATAGAGACACCATGGTTTAGAAAAGTGTGTGGACTTAAATATCTAGGGTATCCATGCATACCGCCGGCTTAGATTGTGGAAAGTTGAAAGTGCAACCGGTTTTTTTGCATTCATTTGTGATAGGTATGACAAGATCCATGCGGCTTCCAAAGATGGTGAGCAATCCTGCTCAGCCTGATACTATGCCACTTCTGAAAGATCTTGAAAATGCGAAGCGGCCTCAGTAGGCCTCCTAGCCCCTCATCTAACTAACCAACTATTGAGAAAATTTTATTCAATAGTCGCTCAACATTTTCCTTTCGATTCGCTTTCACGTGAGCATCACCCACGGAAACGTGGGAATCCAATATGCGCCGCAATGACGTGGATCCGTTACGTGTGTTTCGAGGAATGCAGCTCCGAGGAATGCGGTTATTAGGCGAAAGCTAATTAATTTTACAAAAACAATAATGTTTACTGCTTCCGCTAATCTATTATTTAGCGAGCCCATTAGCCCCCACCGTGGAGCGTGAGATAGAAGGCCCGGAGAACCAATGAAAGAAGCACGTACCAAGAGCCCCATGAACGTGCAAACAACCACTTCCTACCAGTTGAAACCACCACGGAAATATGACGAGGGGTGATGTGATACCAAAGTTATCTGGGATGACAGTAGCGCTCCAGGCAAAGTCTGAGACCACCCCATCAAGGAAGAAAATGAGGGTCTCGAGGTACCCATAGATGTAACCGATGGAATGGTGGCCTACTTAAAAGCATATGAGGTGATGACGAAAACTGTCTTTCGGCCCAACTTCCTCACTATAAACCGCATCTATATGACCCCTCCCCCCCCCCCCCCCATCATCTAAATCTTGGACGTTCATTTCCAACCATCTTCTTATCTTCTTTTAGCCTCGTAGCTGCGATTGTCAGCTGGTGGCGATCATACCTCCTTTTTTCGGATAGCCCTCTCACATAATGAAGACCGTTCCCGAAAAGCCCCGGCAAGGTACATACAACCGGCTCTCCACATTAGCTCAACATTAGCTCAACTAAGACTTCGTTCTCCTTAAAGACTCAAATTCGTCCCCACCGCAGTGCGTCTATCAAAGATAGTGTGCCCTTAAACTAAATTAAGAGAATTTGGAAGGTCCGAAGCTGTCAGTTCCTTGCCGTCGTCCCTTCGTGACCGGAGGCACTTGTCATCCAAGCGAATTAGCTTGCTCATTGTTCAGTCGCAATCAGATGACTACATACCAATCCCTTGTTTTCCCCATCGGTCATCGTTCATCAGTTGAAGATCACCTGATCCATAGGCTGCAGAATTTATGTGTCAGCTGCCCCCAGAAATCTGAGGAATGTGCTCCCATATGCGTGGCTCATCTATAAACATCTCCGTCCAACGGCTCAGCTGACGCCAACCCCCAACAGATCACACCTTGCGTGAATGCAAATGCCAATCGACTAGAAAACATTCATTTATGACGTTTTGAATACGGTAGTCTTAAAGCGATAGCGCGATCGGAATGCAGTCGCTGGGATTTGTGTGGTGAGTGAAAAACATGTGAAACGAGCAGCATTTGCGGTGTAGCTTAAGAACCCGGAAGTGGTGGCAAAGAGCGACTTGCACAACAAGGCCTGCACAAGATGGGAGATTTTCTGGGAACGAAGCATTAATGGCTGTGGCTGTCCACAACATTACTTTTACTTGCACAGAGGGGGGTAAAAACGCGTTAGTCCCATAGAGCTTATTGTTGGAAAATACTTCGTACAGTGAGGAGAGACACCTTGTACACCTAACACTGGACGATATATCACATCCTTGTACTCATAATCCGTAAAACCGACGGGTCTGAGGTCCCAGAGCACTTTTCTCTACTCCATATCCCGTAGATATGGAAGCCGTAGCTGCCTGCTTCATTCTGGATCTCCATCGGCTCAGTTTTTTGCATTGCGAAAAAACCTCTCTTTTTGGGCGCAGGAAGTAGATCCATTTCTTTGCCGAACCAGGATAGCGATGGCGGCTTCTTTCCGAGTGGACACATTACGAGAAACGCAGTCCAAAATGGATTGCGTAGCCACGCCTTCACTTTGTTCGACGCCGTATGGAGTGTCTTCACCTCTTCTACCCTGGTGCGACCTTGAGCTTTCTAGTGGTTGCAAATCAATTGTTACTGATGTTAAGTTAGCAGTTGCCAAGTTATTTTTGTTTTGAGTAAAAACTCTACCTGTATATTCGCTTTACTTACTCAAAGTACGCGTTTGCGATCAGGCTAATATGATGTCGAAGCGTTAGTGCGATCCGCGACAACCTTCGAGGAAAAAAATTGTAAGGGCGGAGCGCTAGTTGGCCGTAATATAGGTTCAGTGAACACCTCCTTCTCTCTACGTGACTCCGCCTTCAAAACCCTGTTTTAGTGGAAAAACGAAGCTGCAGGACCGAAAAGCATGAAAATCGCTAATTGTACGGAGCTAGCACAGAGTTCCTTATTGCGGAGAGTGAGCTGTGCGAATGGGGGTGAAGATTGTAAATGAAAGTTTCTGGGACGTACGAACTGGGATCGAAAATTGGTCTTCACTGGTCTCACTCAGAACCTTCAAGGTCTATATGCAAACCTCTAATCCCACTATATGTGATGGCGAGTGATCGTGGGCTTTGCCTTTAACTTATTATATTGCATAGCCTCACCTCTGGGAGACATTTATTGTTTGAGAATGTCATCCGTCGATCGTCTTCTTGACCAGCGATGAGCTCGAATCGTGATGAGTCCAACGATTCCGTGGGAGACAGTTCATTTTCACCTGGAATTTCACAGTTGTATTTAACCTATATCTAACTGAAAACCTCCTTTGTAAACAAGTTCTTGTTCCTAGGCATTAGACTCAGGTCACAAGTGCAACCTCAATTGGATTCTCTTAGATTACAATAGCATCCGAGGCTTTCCCGTTTTGCCTCAATTTACTTCTTTATGAATGGCTGTTTTTCCTCTGCTCGTGAAGAGGTATCAAGAATGCTGGGATTTGTTTTTCGAGTCCTCCTGAATCAGCCATGAGCTTCCAGGAAATAATCTCATGAAGTTTTCAAGCGTTTTCAGTTCTCACTCTTTCTGAGAAATTCCAATAAGTTATGAAGCAGACAGCATTTATTTAAGCCACTTATGCCTCAGGCCACAACACCTTCCCCCCTCCCCTCCACACCATCACGAGCGATTAGAGTACCAACGTCGATGACTGTGCACAGCACAGCTCAGCATTTAATCAAATCTCACTTCAAAGCATAAGGCACGACAAATTGGTATCCAGTCCAAAATGGTAGTAGGGTTGCTATAAAGCGGGGAAAATGGCGAAAAAGCGAAGTGAAACGGTCAAAAACCTGCAAAAAGCCTTTGTTCTACACGACTCAGAAAGCAATTTCGGACGAGTTCCCCGTTGGCATCGTGACTAAGCGCTACGGTGTGTACTCATATATCCAAGCAGCACCGCGATAGGGTTGATATCAACCCTTTCGCTCCACATTGTACTTAGCGAATGAAGCGATATGAGCACCAGCATCTATCGGACACTAAGGCGGGCGGGCGCGCTGGGCGGCCAGGGTAGTATGTTGCAGGATGGTAGGGCGCTGTAGGGGCACCTTCTCTGGAAAAGGTACCGCGCAGCGTCTGCTCAGGGGGACTAAATTCGGTCCTACTAAGCGTATTAATCTAATCCTACACGTCTTAGGGATTTATCCTGTCATTTCCCTTTAGGGAACAAAAAGGCCTAAAATTGAGCAGTGGACCATCGCATGGGCTAAACGCCTGTGTCACAACCCCAGGGTCTTCACGCCCGTGTCAACCCCAGGATGGATTCGCATAGGGCCGCTATCAAGGT